TGTGTGTGTGTGTGTGTGTGTGTGTGTGTGTGGCTGACTTGGCCGTGCCCGTAGTAGTTATTGGAGCGATCAGGGCTAATGTCTGTTTATCAGTTATCTGCCATCCTTGGGTTGAAAATTCTTTCATAGAAAATGAAAACAAACAAACAAAAAAAGTAAACTGCCGTGTCTTTGCAATGTCAAAGATAACAGAGGGCTGGCTGAACTGTTTTCAATTCAAGTGCCTATTCTACCCAGTTTAAGTATTGCAGATTTGTACCTGTTTTGATTTGCTGATGTGCAGTTGTGTTTTCTTTATTGTATGACGTCACCCAGTTTGATTCATACTGAGAAGTCCCTCCACTCTCAGTATAATTGTACCGGCTGTGTTTTACCCTTCTTGCATTAAATGGCAGAGAGTCTATAGGAATGCTAACTAAAACATTGTGCTTATATTTTACAAGACATAAGCACTTTCTGCCTTGTGCACTGTGGGAAAATATATCTTTATTTTTAAGTAATACTCATGTTGTAATATTAGAAGCTAAATGAATTTGTGGGTACAAGATACAGATTTTACTTTAAAACTAAGCTGATCTGTTCTGACCTCATAAGGGGATATGTTAAACTGAAAAATAACCCTGTATAATCAAGACCCCACCTTCCCAAACCTCACCTCTTTGTCATGTTTTTGCTTGGGAACCTTTTTTTATAACTATGAATGAGGTGGAAGTCGATTTCTTCAAGTGATAATATCAGATAAGTGATCAAATGTTTTTATGCATGTCTCTCTGCTGATCTTCATCTCTGGTTTCAAGAAAAAAAAGAGAATCACTTTTATCTCTGTGGGAATTTTGAGGAAATGACACCTAAAGCTGAAGATGTGAACGTGTTGAATTTCTCTGCTCTTCGTGGAAACTGTATTTGTGACAAGTACACCTGCAATGGGTCCGTATGTGAATGTTTTCCCAGTCTCCAGGGAGAAATCATCTCAAATGGAGCGTAATCCTGATGTTATTAACTGTGTGTTGTCAGTTTGACATCTTGCAAGTGTACTAAAAAATCCAATAAAAGCACCTTTCAAAGTTGAAACATTTTCTTTCTTTTTTTTTTTTTCTTAAAGCTATAGCTCCCCTGGTAAAACTGTTATATTCTTATATTTACTGAGCTATCTTAAATAATCCTGAGAAACGATCACGTACAATTTTAATTTGAAGGTTTTTCGCTTTTCCGGTACGGAGCGCGGTCTTACTTTGAAGGGGAAGTCCACCGGAAGCCGCGGGACCAGCTGTGGATGGCAGTACTTATAACGTGCGCTGGCTGAGCAGAGCCGAGTCCCGCTGCTGGTCCACCGCCGCGGACACCGCTCAGATCCCGGTAAGCAGACCGGGGCGAGTCGCCGTTTCACGTCCTCCGCAGCTGCATGCGCTGAAAAGAAAAGTTACTTTAGTGTGTGTAGTTTAGGCAGGGATCTGCAAGTTGTAGATGACGGATGAAAGTGTCTCCCCTCTCTCTGGGAAGATGCTACCGCTGTGAGGTTATTGATTATTGACCCCGCCAAAGAGTCAGAGCAGATTATTTACTGTAGTGCCTCTAACTGGCTTTAACTTTTTCACACTTTGATTTTTAGATCTGGTGGGAAAACTAGAAGACCCAGATGTGTCTGGGGCGTTGGCTGTCTGTCTGTCTGACTTCATAGGAGTGTGTGTGTGTGCATGTGTGTGAGAGCTACAGTTAAAAGCTCACTTCTGAAAGCCTGGGCTATTTCTGCAATCTGGTTCCAGTTAGGGAGTTTTTTTCTTCTTCTTTTCCCTAATCCAATGATGGAACCACTGAGGCTGAAAACTTCTTCATAGAGGTCAATTAAAATTCCTGTGCTGCCATTTCTCATGTGCATGGTGGTGTTCACATATATGCAAGTGATGCACATAGCTTTAGTGCTTCCCCTGCCAGCTAAACACATTTGGGTAAGTGTGTGTGTGTGTGTGTGTGTGTGTGAGGTGAGTGGGGTGGGGGTTAACATGTAACTCATAATGTGCTGTGCAAACATAAATATAACGTCATGTTTTAGTCACGAGGCTGATGTATGTATTCCAAAAAACTCCCAGAAAGTCCCAGAAGACTCTGCTGGGTATCTGGTGAAATATCAGTCACCTAAACGCACTTCGGACCCTTCACGGCCAGACAGGCCCAAGGAGACCGCTGGGACTGAGAAGTTAACGGCCCGAGCCTGCATGTTAAAGAAATCACTATGAGCTCAGTCCTAAAAAAGCCCCATCGGCCTCATAAAACTTTATGTAACTGGGCTGACTTCACATGGCAACTCCCTCCTGCCTTACGCCCGTTGCCTTTTAATAAGACGGAGCCTAACTACCATACAGATCCGGAGATCTGCCTCTTAATTGGCTCCCGGTGATGTGCCGACTGAGAATTTAACGGGCTTCTGCAGCTTTAAGGAGCTGCAGCAATGACAACTTTTGGCTGGGGAGTTCGACTTGCGGTCTCCGTTCTGCAGCTATAAAAACCTGTTTTGATGCGTCTGAGTGTGCTGACACGAATGATATGTGGCGACATTCTTCTTGGCTGTTGTAAGAGGAAGGAAGCAAACCTAGGTAGGTCCCGGGAGTGGAGGAGAAAAAGGAAAAGCAGCTGCCCCACCAACCCCCACGGCTGAATGTTAACACAATGCATTTATGCTGTACGTACGACAAATATGACACATAGAGAGCTACCTGCTGCTTTAAGACGTTAACACAGCTTGGCGTGATGGCATGAGACAACCCTCTGAGCAGTAAATCATGGACGGGGGTGGGGGTCATTGTGAATGGACACACTTCAGCTCTGTATGGCCATGTCAAAACACTCAGCGTTGATTAAAATCCCGAAATAGGTTTGAATAAACACTGCCACCACCTCGGGGTCGTCGCTCATTGCAGATGGACTGACGTTCAGTGGAGAACTACCCACGTGTCTGAAGGTTCAAACTGTAGAATCACTTCTTTTTCAGGAAAACTTACATATTTCAGCAAGACAATGTCAAGCATGGAGTACAAAAAGGCTATTTGGTTATACTATATATCTATATCAACACATATTTATATATATGTGTGTGTGTGTGTGATCTTTCTTTATCCTTTTCTCATCATTCAGTGGGTGTACCATTTTCAGACAGTTTCAGTTGGCTGCTGTTGGTGTGAGAATCTGGATGACACTGGTTAGATATTGAGACTTGCAGGGGAGTTTGATGATTGAGGATTTACGGCGAATGACTCTTGATACGTCAACCAAACATTTAACACAACCTTTCACTGTAAGGTCTGAATCTGCGGAGGCCCTCCCGACCTTCTCGCTCCGGTAACAAACGCGGATAACTCCGACGCCGTTCCCAAATCCACCAAAACCAGTAAGACGTTGAGCCTCGCTCTGGGAAGAAATCCGTCGCTGGACGGAGAAGGGGAAACAGGAATGTGTAATTTTAGACAAAGAGAGATGGGCTGAGCACAGCGAACCGTCAGAACTCTGGTAAAGCCATCACGTCTGTCCTGGCGTGGCAGAACCTGCCGGGTTTCTACACGACCCCGACCTGTTGTACCAGCTCAGCCCTGCTGTCTGGAATGTGGCTCGCCAAGAGCCAGATAAAACAATTATTCAGCGCTTCGCTGTGTGCTGATGTGGTGCACAAATGTTTAGCTTCTGAGTTTCGGACACTTCTGTGTGTTTATTTTCTCAGATGGGATGATAGGAATAAGGGCTGGGAATGTTTTTTCAGTGTAACGCTGGATAAATAAGGCAAGGCTACTAATCTCAAAGGTTTTTGGAGCCATGGATCCAATGACAGCATGATGGTGTTAACAAACCAACCGCTCAACTTTTGCTTGATTAAAAGTCTTTTCTTGTTTTTGCTTACGGTTTTATCTTTAAGACAGAATAGCGTGGACTTGTCACAGAACACATATGACATAGATGATGTTCCTAAATACAGTCACACTTTTTTGAGACAAGTTTTAGAGTCAGACATTTTTTTTAGATTCTTCTTCACTGAAGAATCTAAGTACCACCTTAGCGGACGTGTTCATCTAACAGAGTCGACAGCGTACAGCAATGTGGAAACGTTGGAGATAACGTTAATTGTGAAATCATGAGAAAGTCTGGCATAAAATGTTTAAAATGAGTTTCTAATTTGTGCCCATGGTTTACATGCTGTGTTCATATGCAGAGTCTTCACGATTTCTCCCAAGAGAAAGTCCAACCCTGCGTATCTGAACAGCTAATCTGCTCCACAGTTAGGGGATAGTGTCTCCTGTCTGCTTATATACCCACTGTGTATCTGTGCTTCCATTTAAGGTATTGTCTTTGTTTATAGATGCAAGGTCCTCGTGGGAATATTTTCTTTTTCTTGCTCCTGAAGAAACAGACGTCACGCTGTAATTATACAGCGACTTGTAATTATAAGCTGAAATGATTGTACTGGTACTAAAAAGAATAGTAACTTTTCACGCTTCTGAATCGAATATTGTACACGCCCACTGCACCCACATCTAAGTCGTTTGTCACACACTCTAAGAGCCACAACCATTGCCTCGTTACCCTGACCTTACCATCAGGGCAGAGCTAGCTTTGAGCCGAGTTGGCTGTGATTCACAGCCTGACATACGTGTGTCATCATCCTTAAGAATTCTTAGGAACTTAGATGAACTATTGCCTTTGTTCATTTCTCCGTTCAAGCCAACCTTCCGCCCACTGACAATGATGCATAACATCACCATGCAGCGCTGCTAGCCTGTTGCAGGGCCACATAAAGTGTGCCCTCGTAAAGCCATGTTTATGACTCCTCCGGTTGAGTTGGCTTTGCTGGTAATGTGCCTGACGATTTATGCAGGGCGGCTGTTACTGATTGTCCAAAAAGCAATCAAAGCCCCAAAGAGTGGCCAGTAATATATTCACCGATCACTCTGACAACTGTTTGACCAAATGACAAACTCTAAAATACAGCCTTGTTTCTCAGAGAAACCTTTATATAGAGTTACACATCATTAAAAAGGAAGTGAATAATATTTTATGGATGTCATCTTATGGATGTCATCTTTCTGTACACAGAAGCAGTATCATGTGAAGTCCGTTACTAGGTTACAATCACTTGACTCTGATAACCTAAAGTATATCATATCCCCACATTGTTTAAACAATAAATGTCACCTCCCATGATCCCAGACCTCCAGGGAAGCACAATGAAAACGTTACTCAAAGTGTATCATTATTCTCTGTTATCTATCAATGCAAGACATAAGCAGCTAGTGCCGCAGCTGGTGGAAATACTGATATGAACAGGGGACTGAAAGGAAGTTTGAAACAGCAACACAGCTGAAATGTGGATTGTAGTTCAAGGTTCGGATAAAATTAATATTTTGTAACGGCCTCGATCTGTTATTAAGCCTCCAGGAAATCCATTAACAGACGTGCTTCACTGGCTGCCGCGCCAGATATGTGATTAAAGAGTTTCTTCAAAGACCAGAAAGCAGTAAGAGCTGACCTGCAGCTCCGTCTGAACGAGGGCTTTCCGTCAAATGAAGCTGTATTAATGACACATGGATGCAAACAGGCAGTTATGGCTAGCATGTTAAACAGTTATCTGCATGTGTGTGTGTGTGTGTGTGTGTTTGGGTAGCTGGCCTGTGCCAACTTCACAGTTTAGAGATTTCCTGTTACTCAGTTTTCAACTACATTCTTCAGCGATAAGATCATGCCGGCACACACGTATGGCTGGTAAGAGCAGACCCTCCGAAATAATACACACTGCTCCAGATTGCCCAGTCATGTTTACCCAGCCGTATTTCTTCCTTACAGTGCAGTCTCTCATTCGCTGTAGTTAGTACTCACACGCACAAAGAAGGGGGATGGAAGAAAAAATGACGACATGCTCAAATTCTGAAGGATTTAAAACTTTTAAAAAACCCCAAAGTAAATCCTCTAAGCCCGTAACCCACTCCGAAAGGATCTGAAAGGTACTTTCTTGTTCTTCCCAAACACCAGGAAAATACAATAACAAACAGGAGAGCAATTTTTATGAAGCCACATATATCTTTTCCGTGAGATTCCGACCATTTCTTGTAATTCACAATCAAAAAGGCATCATAAAGCCGCTCTGTTGGCTCAGTCTCACACACCGGGAAACACACGACCCGCCGACATGACTCCAGTCTGAGACTCTTACCCATAAAACTCAAAATTGACATTGGGTGGACAAAAATAATGGGAGTCTTGGGGCCGATTCAAATGTGAGTTTGCTTTGGCAGAGTCATTACCATCGCCGTCCACATGACGCCCGCTTCATTTTTAAACCCACAGTTTCCATAGTGATTAAACACCGGCCTGTGTATGGGCGGCTGGGACAGGAAGCAGTGATGTGTAGGTGAAGCCGTTCCATTACGCGGCATGAGTTTAAACAAGGCTCCACTTTTTCTCCGACCTGTATGGGCACTGGCTGGCTTCCTGTTGCCAGCCATTGTTCCGCTCCTATCGGATCCCATCTTCTCTGGGCTTATCTCCGCACGCCGTTATTGCCTGCAGCGTCTAGAACCGGGCAGAGGCTCCAGCAGTCGCAGATCTCGGGCCAAACAGACAGCTTGATATTTAGTTTGAGGCTTCAACAGAATAGAATGCAGATTCAGATTCACCTTTGGCTGGTCTGAGGTGTCTAAAAGAGATGGATGAGTGGCCTCACCCAGTCAGCAAATAAACCAGCAGCTTTGTTTGCCCCCAGTTATAAGTAATAATTTACCAGGTATCTGAATAGGAGATGTCTGCTATCTCCACGTGGTGTCAAGTTTGTCTATGGAGGAGACGAGAGCACAAAAGATGTTTATCTTCTCCACAAACAGCAGCAACTTTATCCTCGGCCACATTCTTGTGCCGAGCAGCACTCTGGCTCACAAACTTGTGGTGACTAGATTCAATTTATTTAACTGGATGTTGTGTCGCAAACTACATATTTTTTCTGTCCTCCACAGCCAAACAAGTGCACTTAAAAAAGACGGAAAAAGGTTATTTTCTCCTGTTGTTTGTCTACATTCCACCATTTGAATGCAACTTTGAAAGGACCAGTTAAAAGCTACATTTCCCAATGAGTTATTTTACTGCAGAGCTATTTGGCGATGGGACACCAGATTATTTGATTAGGCCAATAGAAAGTAAGCGCCAGAGAACAAAAACACAAAGAATTTTTGGGCTGCAAGTGACTACATGCTTCTGTAACTCTTTACATGCCAATTTGGTGAGTCGTCAACATGAAAATCTAGCAAAAATTAAAACAAAAACATGGCTGTTCCAAAAGCAATGCACTCTTTCTTGTGCTTATTTTCTGATAAATGTGTCTGACTCTGCAACCAATTTTGTAAGGCGTAGCATGCAGGCCTGATTAAATACTAATTTCACTATTCATTTTGTCTTACTTCTGTTACAAAAAAAATACCTGATGCTTTTAAATAATCCATCATACATGGCAGTGTGGTATTCACAAAGAGGACCTTTGTGAAGGCCGTGGCTCAGTCTCCCAGCCAACACACAAACGTTTTTTTATTCAACTAAACTCTTTAACAAAGCTTCAATTTGATATTATTCAGATCGCATTCAACCACCTGAAACACAATATCCACCAAGGTCCACCTGCAGCTGGGGAAGGCAGCCGGGACCCTCGATCCAAAAGCATCACAGCGGTTTCAGAGTTTCATCTGAATCATCAGTCACAGACCACAAACTGTCAGCCCACCAATCTATTCACCAATTCCATTCAATCCATCTTAAGTCTTTTTCTAGGAAAAGTTGGTTGAAGCGTTTGCCAGTATGGTCCAAATGTCCCTGGCCCAAACCAGAACTTCCTCGTGAATATGTTCTGACATGCTGCTCCGTCCAGGAGAACACTATAGTTTGTGGTTTAGTAAAGGGAGTGGCTCATGTTAAAGCGTCTGGGTGTAGGATCTGTCAAAGAGCTGTCAGCATTCCAGATCTCACCACAGTCGTCATGCCCGGCATTCCTGCTGGCGTTCATCTCACTGTGCCGACGCGCACACACACACAAAGTTTGGTAGAATTCCTTGTAGTCAGCCAGCGTGAACTCGATGTGGGAAGTAAGTGAGTGAACTATTTGAAGCAGACTCTTCCTCCACATTCCTGTGTTAGCGTGACTGGGATTGTGCCATGATGTGTTCCACTCACATGTTCTGACCCTGTAATCACAGCTCTGTGATCAGAGTTTTGGTGCCCAACATGGTGATTTTGGTTCTATGTTTAGTATGTTTATATGTGTGATCGTTGGACTATGAGTTCACTTCAGTGTTTCACACAATAGAAAGAGGTACCTCTTTTAAAGGGAGGTGGTATTTTCAGAGTACTTCAGATATTACTATTTGAAAAGAATTGAACTTTTGAACACACTGAGTAAAAGGTACAGTTGTTTTTAAAAGGGGACAATGGAGGCTTCACACACAGGCAGGAGGTTTCTGCTATTTACTGATGCGTTTAAGCCAATGATTTAAGGGTTTCTACTTTTTTGGTGTTGGGGAAAATGTTGTGAGAACAAAGAAAAGGGTGTGTGTCCACACTTGAGCAATAACAATGGTTTGGGATTAACTGGATAGGAGAGTGAAAACAAAGCAGCAGAGGTTGGGGCAGAAGAACGTGATGGTATGGCTTTGATTTCCCCAGAAAAACTGAAGTGTTCAAGCTTTATGGACTGATCTGCTTTCATTTGTGTCGAAGCACGTTGTTGCAAAACTTTGGAACAAAAGGAGTCACTGGCAGCAGCCGAGAAAGAAAACAATGTTGTGTGGCTCTCATCTCTCCTGTTAACTTTATAGTAATCGTTTCATGCTCGTTCTTATCAGAAGGAAATGTTTAATGAGAGATAAAAAGCGCAGGCCGGGCGCATCAGCTCTCTGCCAGACAGGACTGAAAGATGGCCAGTCTGAAAACATAACCTCAAACCCCTTTGAGAGATCCCCGTCCCTTTTTGGGTTGCAAAGTGGACCAACAGCGCCCCCCTGTGGAGGTCCCACAGGTAACCGCTTGTAACCTCACCTCTTTGTTCCTCACAGGTGAGCGTGGGAGTGGGATACCATGATGGCAGACAGCTCGAACTGTTCCTACTGTCGCGAGGACCTCGGGGGGAAGAGGTTTGTCCGTAATGAGGGAAAGCCGGTGTGCGTCCGCTGCCACACCAAGTTCTGCGCCAACTCCTGCGCCGAGTGCCGCCGGCCCATCTCTGTGGAGACAAAGGTGAGCTCTCGGAGGGTCCAGTAAGCAAAGCCCGCGCGGGGGGAATGTGGGACTGCTTTCCCCGCTAACCTCGGCGGAGTTCTCTTCCCCTCCCCGTCAGGAACTCAGCCACAAGGGCCGTTACTGGCACGAGGAGTGTTTCCGCTGCGCAAAGTGCTACAAGCCCCTGGCCAAGGAGCCGTTCAGCACCAAGGATGACCGCATCATGTGTGGGAAGTGCTGCTCCAGAGAGGATGCCCCCCGGTGCCATGGCTGCTATAAGCCAATACCGCCTGGTACGCATTTGTTTCCACCGGTTAACTGAGACTCAGTGATTAGAAGCCCAAGATGTCATGAAGAAGGAAAGGGAAACATGCAAAATAAGTCAAATGAATTGCACTCATTAAGACATTAAAACAGAATGAGGAAGGCTGAGGCTGTGAAGCACTGTGAGGATATGGAGTCATTGCTTCTAATTAATATGGAACATATATTTGTAGTGGGAGGAGGCTCCAGTGACCGAGGAACGCTAACCTATTGACTAGTTATTCAGCATATGTATCATCCACTTCTAATCAATTTCTTCTCTCCTGAAGGCATAGAGAGCGTGGAGTACAAGGGGAACTCCTGGCACGATGAATGTTTCACTTGTTGCAACTGCAAACGACCAATAGCATCGCAGAGTTTCCTCTCCAAAGGGAGTGACATTTACTGCAACCCGTGCTACGATAAGAAGTTTGCCAAACACTGCGTCAGCTGCAAAAAGGTACTGCCCAAGAGCAGATTCTGACTGATTTAATTGACGAAATAAAGTCCGTTGTGGAATTCGGTTTGATGGTAACATTTGCATCTCCAGCCGATAACCTCTGGGGGAGTGAACTACCAGGAGCAGCCGTGGCACACCCACTGCTTTGTGTGCAGCTCCTGCTCCAAGCCTCTGGCAGGGTCCAGCTTCACCAACCACCAGGACCAGGTCTTCTGCGTGGACTGCTACAAGAGCTCCGTGGCAAAGAAATGCAGCGGCTGCCAGAATCCCATCACAGGTGGCCATTTTCGTGACAAAAAACATCCCCGAATCCTTTTTTTCAATCCCAAATTGTTTGAAACATCGAAATTCAATTGAGAAGGATTCGGGGGTATCTGGAGATCCTGCTCTGAGCATGTGACCACTAAAAACTGAAGCGTTCCTCTTTAGATAGAGCCTCTGTATTCTGCTTTGTCCATATATAAGTGATGATTTAGAATGGGGAACTCAAGGGGAAAAAAGGACCAGTTTTATCTTTATATAGACACTAAAATCTAAAGGCTTCCTCTTTAGAGCCACTGACTGGTTTGGCTATATATATATATGGGTGAACACAAGGGGGAAAAAGCCCTGTCTCATCTTTATATAGACAGGACGGGTAGCTGAGTTTGAACATAGCATGCCATCATGCAGCCAAAGCTCAGACCAGCAGATGGCACACACGGACAGTCCAAAACCACCGGCCAGCTCAGTCTAAAACTACGCTCTTCCCTCCTTCCAGGTTTTGGTAAAGGCGTGAACGTTGTGAACTACGAGGGCAGCTCCTGGCATGAATACTGCTTCAACTGTAAGAGATGCTCCCTCAGTCTGTCCAACAAGCGCTTCGTGGCCCGGGACGGAGACATCCTCTGCTCTGACTGCGGCAACAAGGACTGACGGAAAAACTCTGTCTGTTCACCCAACTTCTCTCTTTTTCATGTAAAGGCCAGGGTCATTTCAATATCCTGTCACATACTCAGCTAGGATTTTAAAAGATTAAACGAATGCAACGTAGAGTGCGCCAGCCATTGTTTGCTCTGATGCTACATGCTAACACTGTACACACATGCAGGGCTGAGTGGCTGTCGTAGAAAGCTTTGTCCTACAAGTTTCTGAGGATGGCGTAAACACGCTTACAAGTCTGAGAGTGCCTCGAAGAAGGCATGGAAATCCGTTTCAAAATGACCCAAAAAACAACTTTTAGTGCAAACAAAGACATGAATGTTGGACAAATAAATGAATGAAGATTAAACCATCCTCTAATACAAGTCTATTGACTTTACGAATTGTCATTAAGGATGCAAACCACTGAAGAGCTAGATGCTGATTAAAGTGTGTATATTATTAAGTAGAAAAGAATGCTAGTTATGGAAAGGCAAACAAGGCTAAAGAAACAAGTTACTTAGCATGAATAGCTGCTTGTTTTAGTTACTTTAATGTCTGCATGATGTTTTTGGCACTTTTTCTAAACAGGCCTCCCTTGGGAGGCAAGCAAAACTCATTCTCATACTGAAATTTGTGCAAACATGTCTTGATGTGTTGCTGAAATGAATTAAAGTTTCTACAGAAACAGAGCATTGCTTTTGTTTTTATCTATGAGGTCTCTCTTTTTAAATGCTGATTAAATAATAACAGGGGGAAGCACTAAGCTTGTTAGGGTAGTGTGTGTGACTTTACAAGACTGCTTCGATGTTTACAAAAAGCGACGCATGATTGTCAGAACTTATAGACTGTCTGCCTTTTTACAGCTGTGAATGCAATCTCAACTTCAATTGATTTGACTGCAAAGAGCTCGTTCAGTATGCACACATGCTCTCCCTCTCCTGTCGTTCCTACATCTCCTGTGCACACACAATAACACACAACTGGGCCAATCACAGGCGCCAGTCTCTGTCTAAAGTGAAATAAAGAGGCACCTTCAAGCCCCTCTGTCGTGTAAAGTGTGACAGTGCATCAGTCTGAATCTATGGAGGCCCTCTTGTGATATACTGGTTATTTCCTAAAAAGGTAAGCACTTATTTCATTTAAACAAGCTCTTGTACTCTGAAGGTAGCATAAGATAAACACTGAAGTGGTTATTAGAATTAAATTATGTAAAAAAAATGTCTCTATTTTTTATTTATGCTGCCAACGCACTCCTTAAAAATCCTTTAAAAATACATGAAAAATGCAGATTTTTTTCCCCGAATACAGATTTGTGATGATTATCCAAAACATTCTGAAAGTGATGTTGACCCTGTCTCTGCTGAGCAGTTACGCCTCTCCCGCGAAAGGAGGTAGGAAACGTGAAACCAAACATAAATACACAGTCTGGGTTTTAAAGGAACAAGATTATAACACTTAAAAGTCTTTTGCAGCAGCATTTTTCCCAAACCTGTATGCAAACTCAAATGACTACTATTTCATTCTGAATGTGACATGGCCTCCAAGTCTAAAAAGCCGGTTCAGGAATATGTTAAAAACTATTCAGTTTAGTCCAAAAGTACAGATGGAAAATAGATTTAGACCCTTGTATATTTACTTGATTTCTTGCTATCTTTAAACATTTTCTTCATGGTACATGGTACATGATTTTAATCGCTATTTTTTTTGCAAAATATAGCCCCATTTAAATCAAAGCTGGTGACGTTCAGAGTGTAAAAGTCTCTTCTTTATCATTTAGAAGAATTTAGAGGCAAACTAGGTTCCTCTAAAGGTTCCGTTCTCTGCTGTCTTACTGATATCGTATCTGCTTTGTTACAGCACCCTGGCTCAGTCTGTGGGGAAAGGTGGCAGATTTTTCATCTGGATGTAACCCCTGGAGATTAAGGCATTATGTCTCCATTCCTGCTCTGCAGGATGTCACTGTCTGCTTCCATCTGAAGCTTGAGGTATTCAGAAATCGTCTCGTCCATATATGCTGCGCTAAAATCCCACAGAAAACAAACGTGGTTTAAGAGATTTGAAAGCCCATTTCAAACATGTCTAGGTCGAACGTTCCACTCCATGGACAATCTTCATGTACCGTCATCCTGAGATTCAGCGTACTGAGCTGGGCTTAGGAGGAGAGAGGGGGCATTTGGTGGTTTGGCTGTTTGGGGAAGAGTGGACCACTTCGCAGATCAACCTCACTCTGTCCCAGTGGTACTCTGTGTGCCTCACCTGGTCCCACATACAGACTAAACCTTCCCTATATGTCAATGGCAGCCTGATAAACATCAAATCCGGTAAGTTTTGGTTTGTGTTCTTGGATTTTGATTTCATGATTTGTGGCCAACAAACACCTCTGTTGGTACGACTAGAGCAAATGAGGAAGAGGATCGATGGTTCAAACTCCACCTTCCCCCATGTCCTTGGGCAGGATGTGAAATCCAACTAATAAGACTTGTATAAATGGGTGAATTATTAGATGATTAGGTCTTATAAAATAACATAAACAACTGTATGTGTAAAAGTACTTTTAGTGGCCAAGAAAATGAGAAAAGTGCTTTTTAAATGCAGTCTCCTTGAAATTTTTTACTAGTTTCAGACTGAATCCGTTATCGTTTCAGTGAGTATCTCGACTTTCTTCTCTCCTAGCTCTTAACACAGATACATCCTTCATCTCCCGTTCACGGCGTAAACTGTCTGCTAATGGGTCCTTCACCCTGGGTGCAGGACATGTGATCACTGACGGAAGAATCGAGACAATTCCTTTTAGCAGCGTTTCGGGCAAAGTATCTTTGTTTCGAATGTGGGGGAGAGCAAGGAGCCAACAGGAAGTGACATCACTGGGTTGCACGGAGGGGGAGCTGGTGAGATGGGAGCTGAGCCACTGGGAGACTTGGTCCTGTGAGCCAATCCCTGACACTAGTCTGGAGTGTGGTGAGGGTGCCTTTAGTTACATTTCATACAACCTGCATTTACGCCGTCCTCTGCAGGCTCCAAAAAAGTGCTAGGAGACAGATTTTCTCTTTTTGTCCAGCCCCCCACAGTGGCTGAGAAAGAGTCAGTGTCAGATTCTGTGGAATGAAGCAAATAGTTGTGATGCTCATTAAACCTTTTACAGCATCTTTTAACATCAATAGGTCTACTCTGATAACATTTGGAACAGCTGTCCTTCGATCAGTTAAGCAAATACTCTATAAAATCACTTCTATTAGGCTTTGAAGTGTAAATCATATACCTGTATATCATATACCTTTTTTTTTCTCAATAAAATCTACGACCTGCAGTGATTCTCGCTGCAGGACAAATGTTTTTTAAGTCCCTTTTTTAAACTTATTTCTCCTTTTTACTGAATCTAATTTCTTGGTTAGGGAAATTGCAAATATGTGAAGTGTGCATTTATAAATCAAAAATGATATGAGAGGGTTTGCATGAGCAACTTTATGAAATGCTCGGCAGAGTCTCAAAGATTAAAAATGAACTTTGTTGGTAATGCTTTGACGTAACATTGTCTTTCTACTTATTTGTGACGAATGGTGGTGTTCTCTGGTAGAATGGTCCATTTACAAAGCGAAATTGCTGTTTAAGATCTTCAGCCTCGAAGGGAAAACTGAGCTCTACATGGCAAGATACATCGCACTTCACTGGGTAAAACAAAGAAAATTAATCCTGTTGCCGAGTCATTTCGAGCAGACAAATCTGACCTAAACTTGTCTGTGGTTAACTCTTGGTAATGCTTTAGGCTTTCGAATGTTAAAAAAAACCAAACCAAAAAACAAGACTAATAGAAATGAATGATTTGTTAAAAAACAGATCAGTTTACAGCTCTAGATAATTAATTTAATGGTTTTGAAAAATAATCAACAAAACAACCAATGTGAATAAATATTTAGTAGTCTAATTAAATGATTATTGCTAATTTGATTACTTTGACCATGTAAACCCGTCTGCGAAGCTGTGACAACGCTGCTCTCTGATCTTCCTGCAGCTCAGAACGGTTTTGCCAGGCATCCATTTACACACACTGTCTGTGTTTGAAGTGACCAGGTAGCATTGATTTTACTTTCATTCTCCTTAAAAAATGTTTTTTTCCCTAGTACATCACTTAACACTTAATTTTTGTAGTGATTTACATGTCCTAGTGGTCTTACAGAGATTCTCTGATGCTTTTCCTCAATCCAGCGCAGAGTTCCGGATGAACACATCGTCTCCGGATGCGCCGGTAAGCGTTCTGGAGTTAAAACTGAATTGGCTGATTGACAGAAAACGCAGAATAACCCAATCGTCAAGATGATCTTTGAGGCACTTGAAAAATAAAGGCTTCACACTCCATCATACACATCAAAGTCTTTGGATTAAATTGATTTTAAAACTGCATTTTTATATTAACTAATACTTCTTCTACTTGGCTCATTCCCTAGATGCTGTGGCCTCCACCCAATATTGACAGGTAAGTGGTATAAGTTCTCTGTTTCTATTATCTGATAGTTGCCAGGCAACAATCTGCCAAACTATAGAGAGCAGGATCAATGTGTTTCACCAGTGATGACCTTTTTATTTTATTAGTGTGTGAGAGCAGATGTTAAGTTTCAAAGCAGCATGTGCTGCTGTGTTCCTTACAAAGCCTGGATCAATATGTAAGAAAATGCACTTAAAGAGAGTAAAAACACAGCGAGTCAGCTCTTATTCTACCTTTCCAATTACAGGTTCCAGTGCCTGGTTCACGTTAATATCATCCCCGGCTTAGATGTGGCAGCTGTGAAGCAAGATATGTACATAAACCTTACAATCCCTTACCATGACCCCGGCGGGCGGCTGCAGCTGCTGGCCGACACAAGCAGCATCTATATCACACCTGTTGGTATGAAAAGGTTTTCAAAAGCAATCAGACGTACTTCCTCACGTGCTGAAAATGTGACGCTCGATCCGTCTTCCAGAGAGTTTCTCCTCGACAACTGACGACCCTACGACCGAGGACCCTCAGTCCTCTTCCATCTCCACCCCCACTTTCACAAACACATCCTCCGCTACATTATCCCCCACCACCACCCTGAAAATTCAAACCCCCAGCATGTCCTTCTACACTAGTACCATCACAGCCCCCAGTTTCACCACAAGCCCGGTAAATATCTCTGGTGAGTCTGATAAGCCCGTTTACAGGCCATTTTCTATTCAGGCTGTTCAGGAAAGTATCTGATTTGCCTCAATCTTCCCTGCAGAGCTGTATTTTCAGGTGCAGGTGAACATGTCCATAACAGGAGACTGTGACCCAGGACAGATCGTCCCCGTATGGGTGTGTCTCACAAAACAAATAGGCTCTTGTTTTGACTTCACGCAACTTAAATATGGCGAAAAAAATACATGCGTATACCGTATGTAATGCACGGAACAATTCATGCTACAGTCTTGTTTTCACAGCTTAATAGCAGTTTACCTGATGAACTGATGGTTGTCCTGGACTTGCAGCTGCTTCCCAAAGTTACAAGGTATGGTATGTGATGAAGCTTTTGCCCCACCACTTCTGCCAAAGATTAAGGTGGATATGAGTTAGTGTTGATGTGACTACTTTAACAAGGACTGATCTCTGTTCCAGGGTTAAACGTGACCGTCAGTCAGATCACTTCATAACTGATGCTGTAAGTAATTATTCAAGGACCTTAGCTAGTAAATTTCAAACATTACCATTAGACATGGTCCCAAACAAGAAAACCCCCATGAAGTTCTGTTTTATCCTTACTAAACAGTTTTAGATACAGTACTTATAAGTATTTCTAACATTTCTGAGCCAAGTCAACAGATCCTTTAATTACCAGACAAAAGGGGATACCCTTGAAGTCTTTCCTTAAGATAAATATTTTTGGAACATGCACCTGTATAAGATAGTTACATGAAATGATTAATATATTCTGTGCTAAAATTGATTCAGTATTTTTGTCCACAGGGAATTACATACATCATTTCAAGGTAGGGCTCATGTATTCCTGTATTATTGCAAATGGCTTAAAAACCAGTTCCACTAAGCAAAATGTTTACACGGAACCATGTCGCGAGCTCTGGTTTGCATTTTTCAAATTATTTGAAATCCATAAAATTTGTTGAACCCATCACTCTCCTCCCATCTGCAGAGAGAGCTTTGTTTTCCAGGTTCAAGTCATGATGCTGCTGTCAGACACTCGGGAAATGGAGGAGCAGATCCGGGACCTTCTGCTAATGCCCTACAACAATGGCTCCATCTCCATAGCGACTGAGAACGTAGAGATAAGCCGCATATGTGAGTTCAGTACCAGACGAGGTGGACTCTGGGTGCCTACTTTCCCCGTCTCAACCTGTGCCGCCGTTTCAGTGGAATACACGTGTGCGGCGGAGACCCAGCAGACCCTCAAAGGCCTGTTTACGTGGCCTGAAACTTCAGGGGGGAAAAAGGCGACCTGCGCGTGCCCGAAAAACCCCCATCGCTCCGCCACCCGACACTGGTGCGAGTTTCATGTTTGTATAGATACAAAGAATTACAGCATATACATGCAGATATGCCAAGTACAAAATGTGTGATTGTGAGTGGAAGTTGACTTTTTTTTTGTTGTAGAATAAAGCAAAAATGAATGACAGTGAGGTTAAAAAATGACCAGGGCAGCCAGTCATGCCAAATACATCAAACATAACTGTCCTGTTCTTTGTTAGATCAAATTTGCAAGCGCAATTACTGGTGCATGTGATAAAAGAAAAAAAAAGGCATGTTTTCTCTAAATCTTGCTGCAAAACCAACCGTGTTTTCAGCTGTAGCATAAATATTAAGCACACAGCATGAGCACAAACAACAGGCCTCCATCAGTACAGCTATGCTGACAGCATGAGTGAATTAAACCACAGACCCTTTCTCTGCTATTCTCTAACATTTACCGGTGAAATCAAGCGAATACTTCCCATATTTGGCTGGATGATTGTCAACACTAATTTAATGCATCAACAGGGATGGTGTTATCTGTCTATTGATCCCACCCACTAGCACATATTTGTGTGGAATTGTCCCCGTGTCCGGCAGACCCCGTGTTGACTCTGGGTTTCAATGATATGTAATGGCCGGGCTGTAAAAGCATTAATCAGGATCTCAGTGGCACTAATGAGTGCTTTGTTATATGATTCGTTGAGTCAGCTGTCTAATGTCTCATAAATGTCACCGATCCATTAACCGCTCATTTTCTGCTTTAACAACATACACCGCTATGGATTTGTTTCTTTTTACGCTCCACGTTTAGTGTTGGAAACAGACTGTTGATAGTACTGTAAAGTAAAAACCTTTAGAGTCATATCTTTTTTTAAATTATTACAGAACTCTGTGTGTTCACACTTCACAGCAAACTACGGATCCAGACTTACTGGACGGATCCTGACCTGGAGGACTGCTACCCAGTGGTGGAAACTATCCTCGATCTGGACCATGTTGAAGTCACTGCTAGTATGTTAAGACGTTTTCGTTTGTCATGGGTGCTTTAACTGTTTTCAAAGACTTACCATTAAACATTGAAGAAAAGAAATATCTATAATTTAGTCATCTGCTTGAGGTTGAACAAGGTCAAATGAGCTAAACTGGATTTAGCTTCACACCAGAATTTGCAGAGTAAGATGTTCAGAGACAGGTGACTTTCTCCTTTGCTGCCCCCGTGATGTGCTTCTAATGCTGTATTATTCATCTGCAGCTAATGCAAAGGGCGTGTTGGGAATGATAAAAGATTTACTTCGAAATCAATCCTCTCTCATCCAAAAAGAGCTGGACACAATACTCAACAAGCTAAAGGACATCATTTCCGTCAGCGTGGTCACACCAAGCTTGGGTCAAGCTCTGATTGACGTCATTTCAGACATACTGAAATCTGACAGCAACTTTGTGCCTTTTACTAATGCGTACGTATGGAAGGCAAAGTCAGAAATATGAGGAAAAGCCTTATTCATCTGGCATCTGTATGCTAATCCCTTTTCTGTTCCCCTCTCCAGAATCCTGAACATTACAGAAGAAGTAGGGGACAGAATTGTAGGATATGAAGGCTCCTACACACTGGCAGCTCCAGCAGTTGCCATCTCAGTGGTGGATGTACTGCCTGACCAGTTTACCAGCTTAAGTTTTGGAGTAACATCGGATCCCAGTGGCACAAAACCTGAGGTTAAAAACACAATTCATTCCAATCTGTCTCATATGCCCCCTTTAAAGTGAAAGTTTATATAACCTAAGAAGTGACAGGGTAAATAAACTGAATATTTAGGTGCAGTTTAGGGGCATTTTTGACCCTCATTCCCATAGAAATCTCCAAAGTCTAAGAGAACTCCTGCTACAAAAACAATACAAGGAATATGACAAAAACAATACAAAGAATATGCTTACAGGTCTCTGTTTATGTTCTAGATTTTCATCAACAGCTACCCCTTCAACGGCACAGTGGCGTTCATCTCTCTGCCAGCTGCTCTGCAGCACAGCTTCCCACAGCCAGGTCTGAACCACAGCCCACCCAGGGTGCAGTTTCAGTTCTTTGGAATCCCACTACTCTTCAAGGTATGTTACTAGCCAAAAAACAAAACAAAACAACAACTTTGTAATCCATATGTACCGGATGATTGTTTCCTTTTCTCTGCTTTCAGAGTAGTGACGGCGGACAGGTCCTCAACACCTTTGTGGTGTCCGCCAGCGTGACCAACAGCAGCCAGCCAATCAAAGACCTGGCTGAAGACGTCGAAGTCATGCTCCAGCATCTGAAGACCAACAAAGTAGGATTACGCTCATGCAGCCGCCGATTTCATAATAATATTTTTCTTAAAACAGCAAATGGATGTTGAAGAATGTTTAATTTTCCTTTGTGTAAAAAGCTTGACAAGAAAGTGCAGTGTGTGTACTGGAACTTCAACAAAAACAGTAAGCCCTGACTGAACCGGCCACTCTCAATTTGGATTAACACTGGTCGAAGCGTCACAAATTAAGTAGCACTGTCCCTTTGCAGACGGACAAGGAGGCTGGGATGGTAGCGGCTGCAGAGTAAACAGCACCAACTCCGACTACACAACCTGCCAGTGTGATCATCTCACACACTTTGGAGTTCTTCTGGTACAAACTGTTTAGTTCAGGTTTAGAATGTAAGGGGCATATTTAGATGTAGAAGGCAAATAAAAAAAGGGTTTTGGCATGGTCATTAGTCTTCACTGCAATTTTCACAACATATAATTAACTCAGCCTTGTAGCATTAAGTGAGTTTATGTGATGACCTGAGAGAGTTCAAACCTCCAACTCTGAGTCGTCACCTTCTCTGTTATGATTGGATTTAATGATAATAAGTTTTTAAAACAGCTTTTTTTTTAAAGTACAAAAATAAAATAAAAATCCTGCTAGCTTCCACTTGGCCGTGAGAACAGGAGCAGGTTGATAAATACAGGAGTACACAAAACAGTGTGTGTGTCCAGGACGTCTCCAGAACCCCGCTGGACCCGGCCAATGAGCAGATCCTGACCATGATAACCTACGTTGGTTGTGGAATCTCATCGTTGTTCCTGGGAATCACCATTCTCACTTACATAGCTTTGGAGTAAGTTTTTCTACAGTAAAGTTTTTCTACAGACCTAAAGACATCTGAAAAGTGTGATTGTAGCAATTCATCTTTGGATCTGCAGTACACTACAACAAATATCTTGAATTATTTGTATTTTCAATCCAATCCAATTGTATTTTTTTTCTCTTTAATTGATCTCTTCTGCTCATTTCTATCTCCAGAAAGCTCCGCAGAGACTACCCTGCAAAGATCCTCATTAACCTCTCCCTGGCCCTGCTGGGTTTGAACCTGGTGTTTCTGGTCAACTCCTGGCTGTCTTCGTGGGGTGTGGATGGCCTCTGTGTGGCTGCAGCGGCCACCATGCACTACTTCCTCCTGGCATCATTCACCTGGATGGGACTAGAGGCTGTCAACATGTATTTTGCCCTCGTCAAAGTATTCAACGTCTACGTGCCCTCGTACATCCTCAAATTCTGTGGTATTGGATGGGGTTAGCAATGTTTTTTTTTTTTTTTTTTTTACTTGTAAACATTTAAGTGGATGACATTGTATTTCAGACTAATGATTGAGCTCTTTCCTGCAGGGATTCCTCTGGGGATCTGCGTCCTGGTGCTCATTGTGAACAGAGAAGCATATGGCAGTCACCTCTACGAGGATGTTAAGTCCTCTTTACAACCACCAGATAACTCAGACAACTTGTGAGTTCTGGCTTTGTCATCTTTTATTTATGTCTCAACGCATCTTTAAAAAAAAAGGAGTTTTAATCGGCAGTCAGAGGAACCAAATGCTAACAGCAAAAAGAAATGAGTGCTGGCTTTACCATTTGACACACACTTACAAATCTTATGGTCCTGCTAAGTGTGGATTTTAAATCTGTATTATTGACATTATTACATAAAGCTGTGTATTACTTACTTTCCAATGGTGATCAATTGCTTCCAGTACAATTGCAGCCCATATAAGTACCTGTCCTGCATCTTCTTTAAATCCATTTGTGTGCCCCTCAGCTGCTGGATCCAAGACGATGTGACCTTTTATGTGTCTGTGGTTGCCTACGCCGTGCTGATCTTTCTCTTTAACATTGGGGTAAATGATTTAATCAAACTATCTCAGAAAGGTTTAGCCCTTTAGACAACTTCTAAAATACCTTTCCAAAAAGAATCCAATTTGGACCACTTTTATAGACTCATAGATCTGGACAGAACATGCCAACAAGAACATGAACTCTAAAACACAGACCATCCCTTAAGTTCACATAGCATTGTATATCAACATTAGTATTTTCTATATCAAATCTACCATTTATATAAAATCTACCATATGCTGAACTTCAGTTATTTTTCACACTTTCTAATTTACTTTTACATTCTGTTCTCCTATAACTTAAGGATTTGATTTCCCTTTAGGTTTTTGTGGTGGTTCTGATTCAGATTCGGCAAATGCGATTCAACAGTCCAGCAGGAACCCGCAGAGGGCTCTTGCATGACTTAAAGGGAGTAGCCAGTCTTACCTTGTTACTCGGGCTAACATGGACCCTTGGCCTTTTTACAAGTGGACCAGGAAGGATGGTTCTGCTGTACTTGTTCTCTGGACTGAATACCCTGCAAGGTGGGTTCTGGTTCAGTCTATAAAGCAGAGAAATTACATGCGAGCTCACTATATTCACCACTTCTATATTACTTAGAATGCTAATACTGAAAAGAATTTAAAATATATATATGTATATATTTTTTTCCTCATTGGCATATATATGTGTGTGTGTGTGTGTGTGTGTGTGTGTAAATTCTGGGGATCATTAGATCAGGTCCAATTTCTAAGAAAATAAATAGAAAATAGTCCCCAAGTTCAAAACAGAAAAATGCTGCTTACAGAGAAGTTGGAAATATTTATACCCATGATAAATAAAAAAACTCCTACGTAATGCACAGCCTCGATAAAGAACTGAGATAACTTTAGGGGCAATATGTATTATTACCACTAGATGGGACATGAGTTATTACAGTTGCTCATCTGGAGCCAACAGGAGAATAGGATGAAGTAAGTGCTGGCATTGCCAGGAGCAAACAAACAAAACAAAGAATGTGATAAATAATGTCTGCTACGAGGATACATCAAACCAGGAGTCACTTTTGGTCTGTGTGTTCCAGGTCTTTTTATCTTCCTCTTCCACTGTCTGATGAAGGAGAATGTCAGGAAACAGTGGAGGATTCATCTGTGCTTTGGACGCTTTCGACTCGAGGAGCATTCAGGTGCCAACATATGACCCTCGGGATGCGCCACCAAACACACACACCACACATCTCTCACACATACACACACACAAACTGATTTGTATGATCTTTGTCCAGAGTGGAGCAATTCGGCATCGGTTGGTGTACAGACCAAACCAAAGGAAAAGCTCCCCAGGGCAACAATGCCATCGGTCCGTTCGGTCAAGTCCAACTCCACAGAGAGCACATCGGCTTCGTCTGACTCCAGCCAGAGAGACTCCTTCTTCAGGAGGCCAAACCTCGGTGAGAGAGCAGAAATCATCAAACCTGTCACTGAGCATAAGCTGATAAAAAATGTCATAATTGAATCATGTGGACCAAAAAACTAAATGCTACTGTATTGAATTATGATCCAAAAGGTATACTGCTGTTGTGTGCTTTACAGGAACATCTTACAAAGATAGTGGTCAATAGCTTACACATTACTGATTTAATTTCTCTCCTTATCTTCATTGTTCACTAGTATAAGATTTATGAGGTTGTGTTGAAGCTTGCTTTTTCTAGCTTTTATTCCTAAAATGATCTCTTTGTGGCTAGAATCTCACTGAAGGTCACAGCTTACATTAATGAGGCTGCGCTGACAATAAGAAATTAGACAATGACTGTCTTCAAATTGCTTTCCACACAACCAGGAGGGCTTTGTGTAATCGATCAAAACTTCACCATCTGACAGTTGAAAGTGTTAGGCCCCAAAGTCTCGTGTATATACCCCAACTAGACTAGAAAAATGATGCTCACAGATGTTCAATTATCTTGCAGGTCTATTTGTCAATAGCATGGCTCTTCCTCGAGCTCAGAGGGACCACTCACAAACAGGAGGGCTGCCCCCTGTCAGGGGGTGAATCCAGCATCTGGCTGGAGAAATCAGCTGCCAGATGAGCAATAGCTGATGGCACCGGCACATATCATCAAAAAGCATGAAAAAAACAGCGGCCCTAATCATACCGTCTTTCATTGTAAGTTAATGAGACATGTAATCAGTGCAGAGCAGAGCTAAACCCGTCTGCGAGGCACCACTTTCTCTTGATAATTTTTGCATGCAGTTCTATTGTTGATTTTGTTTCTGCTAAATATTGTAAAAGAGCTTGTAATTATCGAGACATGAGCAGTTGCATCAGTTCCTAGGAGGAGCTGGTTGCCAAGCAACTGGTGAGTGGAGCTATGGAGACAATGAATTGTACTACAACATTAAAACGGTTACAAAATTTAAAATAAAATCCCAATCCAAAAGTCCCACAGTTCTTGCTTTGCTTACAATGCGTCACCTGCTTTACAGGTTGGACCGAACTTCCTATAATTTATCCATCACTTCGTGCGACACCACGATGTGAATTGCGTAAATGTGTGATGGTTCTAAATCGTTTCTCTGAAGAGGGTCCTCTCTGATGCTCCCTTCACTAATTTCTCATGCATGAAGTCTTCTGAAACTACAGCTGCCCTGGATCTTTATACTCTACAATATGTTCTCTGCAAGATGGATTATGCAGAGATTTACCATTGACGTCCCAAAAAATTAACTAGATATTTATGCTGGTACTTTGATAGGAGATTGTCCTCTATAAGTTACTAGTTGCTGAAAACAGCCTGCCAGCAGTGAGTAGTACCGTCATGCTACGCAAGGTAATTCAATCTTGTTGAGCACAGAGAGAAAGACTAAATCTTTTTATCTGCTAATCAAGACAAAACCCTTCTCAAACAGTCAATAAAAACTAAAAACAGGGACTTAAGACTTATCTTTGAAGTTACTGGCCATATTTGAACGTTCAAACATTTCTGTGGGTAAAACAAAATACAACAGATCTCTTTCGATGAGACCTTAGTAGGATTGAAGTCAAATGATATTTGGTTTAATCCATGAACACAACCTACTTGTACGAGGACAGTTTTGCCATGACTGTTCCTTCATCTGTAATAATTAAAACCTTTAGGTAAGTGCAGTATAAAATATACAGTACCACTGAACTCATTCAAACTGACTTCTGTGTGGTGCACAACAGCTGAGCCTTCTTTATTTCACACACTGAAAACACAGAGAGGTTAAACATAATACTATAAATTCTATTACAACAAAAATGCCAAGTGCACTGAAGAACAATAAATGAAACCACGCAGAGAAACCTGGGTAAACATAACAGAACCAGCTTCTGGATGAGCTTTCAAGTAGTGCTGAAACAATCCACCAGCATTTTGGAATTCCAGGGCCCCGCATTGATGCTCAGGAACTTTTGTTTGACCAGATCTTTAACTGTCTGGTATACCACAGCTTCCACCTGTAAATAAAAAAATAACAAAAGGTTACAAAAAAAATCGGCATTCAGCACCAAGTAAGACAAGGACAGACAAACCTATTTATAGAGAAGCACTGAGGATAAACATACCTTGACACTGTGGTAGGTGGGAAGTTCCAGCAGGTAGCTGTGCCCGCCCAGCCGTGCAACTTGGCAGAAATAACTATAGAGGGCCCTCTTGCAAAGTCTGCTTGAGAAGCCAGGCCCAGTTACAAAGGGAGACCTGGGCCACACGTACCATTACAAATATTTCAGAGGTTAATATTTTCCTTCAGATACAAATTAGATTTTAATTCATTAAGTTTGTTATCCAATAAAGATATCACATTCATCTTTTCCTCTATAAATGTTGGTTATAACAGATCTAACACATGTAATAAATGTTGATTTAAGTCCTTACAGAAACAACTGAAGTGTAAAGAAATAATTTAGCTCAGCTTCAAAGCTTTGTTGTGCTAAAAACAAAAATGTCTTGACCACACCGTGGGAGCACCGTGCCTTTTTGTGCTCTGCCTGAAAAAGGGAGGGAGGGTTCCCTGCTGGCAGCACTTACTACTCCCACTTACACATACCCTGGGAGAAACCCTGGAGCGAAAGTAGACCAGTTACGTCTGTACAGATAAGGTTTAGAGGAGATATTTGGTGTGACAGCACTAACACGAGCCACCATTAGTAGACGACCGATGGAACCAGGAAGCTGTCGACTTAATGATTCTCACACCAGGGAAGAGTCTTTTAAAAAAATATATATATTTTTTTAATTAACCAATTAAAGTACAACACAGACTTGTTGCTATTGTTATGTGGGTACAAGCCAAAAAGTGACAGGAAATGAATAATTGCTTCAGGCCTAAAATAACTGAAAGGAGCGAGCTGAAGCTGCTAATCTGCTTTTACATAATTGAATGTTTTTACATCATTTACATAATTTTAAGTGAGAAATCTAATGCCACAACACACATAAAGTGTCTAAATCTATATAGCGATTTGAATTTCTTTGGTTTCTTTCTTTACTCCCCCATAAAACAGGTCCCTTTTCTAGGTGTCTGCAGGAAACACGGTGTGGTTCTCAAACCAAAACTACCCGTAAACAGCTCCAGCCACTGAAAGTGGTGAGCAAAATCTCAGATCTATTTTGGTGGGTAATTGCTGCTAAGGGACAACACTGCCTCCAGTGAGAGCCACTGCGGCAACACACTGGTCCTTGTGGATCTGCACAGTTGTCTGCAGCCCCAAAAGCAGGAGATGGCAGGAGCCCCAGGCCATACCGAGCTGTCAAAACACCAGCACAATAAATCTTCCCACAACACGTCTCCTACAGTATTTCTGCGGTTTTGCAAGAGTGTATGGAGTGTAAATAGGTGAGGTCAGGACTGTCTCGATAGAGGACTGGACATCATAGTGGGTAGAAAGCAAAACAACAACCAATTAAATGAAATCTCATCCCCATAAGCATAGCTTCTTACCCCTCAACAATGACGCCTTTGCTGCTGTCCAAAACTTCAACGTCCTTATCTCCAAGACACCAGTTGATGCTGAGACCGTCATGCAGTGGAGACGCCACAGCAGGTCCCACATAATCGCCACAGATGAAAAGGATGCTGTGCTTCTGGTAGCATGGAGGCAGAAATTCCTCCCATCCATCACCGAGTCTCTTGTTGGTGATGTCCAACACATCTGTGTTGAAGATATTTTGGCCTCCTAAATAGTTTTTTACAAAATAAGGAAACAAATTAAGACATGACACATTATATTAAAATCAAATAAAAGATGTAAGTACCATGCTGATGTTACAGCCTCACAAATCTGTTTGTGTCACAGGCATTTTAAGATACAACTAAAGACATCAATAGCCAATTTCCTGGTTTTAGTTTCATATTTAGCATATTACACAAAGCCTTTTTAAAAAGCGCTAGGCACAAGAACTAAATCAAGCATGTTTCCAGTAGTGCTGAAGAGGAAACCTAATAACCTTACAGTTCTTTACCTAGCACCATGCTGGTGATGTACAGCGGCTGAATGAAGTGGCTCAGTAATGCCCCCTGGACCCCAGTGATAGTCCAGCAGCACAGCTTGTCACTCGCGGACATGCAGCAGACATGGGCACCCCACACACTTGGCTCAAGGTACGCCACAGGGACCAGCAGGCCCTTAGCGTGATACTGGAGCTTCATATTAGTCCAAGTGTTTTCTGGGTCCCTAAAAAGATAATGACATAACTTAGTAATGAAAATAATGATAATTTTAAATAGAGCGACATATCAACATAATCATATTTTTGTTATTCTTGCCATTTAAAAAACTATAAGATTAACTGTGAGATGCTTCATTTAGCTTCACGTATCACAGGGTTTGGACAAAATCCAGAACTTCATCACACCCAGGGATTCTTCACTCCAAAACTTGGCTCAAAGCAAATTAATACATTAAAACAATCAAGAGAAAGGAGTGCTGTACTTAAAGTAGAAGTTCTTGGAGGCTCCCTCGGGGCACTGATTGGTATAAAGATGCAGGCTGATTTTGGGTTTGAGCTGCAGCTGGTGGCTGTCGGCGCTGCTATCAAATATGCACTTCTCTTTGGCCTTCAGATCAGCTTCAAAGAACAGCAGCAGCTGTTTGTACAGAAACCTGACAGACAAAAAATACATTTAGGGCAGGCATTTCCTTCAAAGATGCAGAAGTACTTCTCAGTTTTATAAATGGGAATCATGCTCGTGCTTAGGAGAGTCAACAAACATTTCTAAAAGCTCATTTGCAATTTAAGATTTTTTAAATCTTTTTTTTTTCTTTCAAGCCCACTAAAACTCCAACACTTTAAGGACGAGCATTCTTGAAACTTGTGTGAGGCTGCAGTGAACTGACTAAACTGCTTTTTGTACCTCAGCAGAGCCCTCCTGGCGATTATGATGGCATGGCAGTCGTGGACCATCCTGCCAGTGTAGCAAAGCCGCTCGGAACAGCTCGAGCTACCTGAACCCACCGCTACCACCTTGTACTGCTCACATGGATTTCCTGCTGTATCCAGCACTTCTGTGGGGAAATTAATTTGCATTCACAACTTTGAAAGAATAAAGGCTAAAGTCTAAAAAAATAAGTGGACAGATGCACATTACACCAAACTAAATGAACTGAATAAATCATTTAACACACTGAAAAATGTTTTATTTGAATTGTTTCTCTAAAACATGGCAGGGCCTGGCCTCAGAGCAGCAGGCATGTGAAAAACACCACCATTTTCAGCTATGTTAATAGATGACTGCATGAAACTATTGCATAGCTTGAAAAGCGCTGCAGCCTCATAAAGGATGGAAGTAGTTAAAGAGTCAGTGAAAAGTTTTAAGCTATTTGTTAGGAATCGTGTTAACAACACAATAGCAAAATTATACCATTCATATTTGATATGACAGCTTTCCTTGAACTTTTAGAAATCTCATGTGTTCACTTTTAAAATGTAACAGATAACACATTCATTATCTGATGCACTATTGTGGGACATGACTCACGGGGTAGTCAATGTGAAGCCACCCAGGAGGAACTTAAGCTATAGATAAGTATTTGAATATTGTGACATCATCATGAGTGTGTACCTCCTTTTCCAGAATGCAAAACTTTAATGTAAGGCTGCATTTCCTCTGTATGGGTCAGGTTACAATCTTAATCCCAGACTCGGTGAAAAATCTCTCGGGTGGCAGTAAGGCCCTGAGTAACTGCTGCTCTCACAACTCAGCAAAGGATCAGTCAGACAGATGAATTGAAGGTTTTTTCTTCATACTAGATTTTTATTTGTGTGAACCACAACTGAGCCAGTTTTCCTGGAGCAGCATCTGAAAGCCTTGAAGCCAAGAATAAAACTGCATCACGAAGAGCGTTTTTAACTTGACAGTTCTAAATGAATTTGATTGTGCTAAAATGGCAACTGACTTTTGATATCCAACTGATTCTCTGTTCTTATTAAGAGCTCAGAAGTGTATTCCGAAAAAGCCTTTTTACCAGTAAACTCCAGGTGTGCACAAAGCTTACCTCTTACCAAGACAAATGCTGCCATGTGGCTTTTACAGCCATTAAAATCTGGACACATTCTCAGAAGGCTGTCAAACTTCTCACTGCTTATAGCTGCCATGTGATTCTTGTGCTGGTCAGTTTCCCAAACTGTAACACACAACATGGAACAGGGGATGAGAAGTTGTATAGGTAGCTATTCTCTAAAGCAAGTCACTATAATGGGAATACACCAGGTAAAACTCCTGCAGAAGGTTGGAGGGTCCATCTTTCCTATAAAGATTTTCACAGTCACTGCTCAGCATCTAATTTTGGCATTAACTGTGTCTCCTCTCAGCTTCACAAGTCATGCTATAAACTACACATATATATGAACGTTATTTGTTCCGGCTCAGTGTCCACCTCATTACAGTTAAATACGATCATTGTCTCTGCTTCAAATATCACATTAAACTTTGATCAGTGCAATTAGGATCTGTGAATATGTTAGGGCAGACTCGCATTGTGGCTCTGCTGTGTCGAATCGTACCCTTATCTCCTCTGTGTGCTGTGTGTGAACCAAAGTGTGGCTTTAAATCTTAACTTTAACAAGCACAGAAATGTGCTGAAAGCAATTGCTGGGTAAGGACAGAAGAGGTGAAAGGTCAGAGAGTGTGATAAGGCTGAGGCTTTAAGGCAGCTGCTCACTGTCCTGTAGGCTGACAAGGGAGGACTAAAACACTCCAGATCACTGCAGATCACAGCTTGTCAGAGAGGATCGTCACCACAGTGGCATAAGTCAGTGGGATCACTTCCAAAAGCTTCTCAAAACCTTCTGGATCAAATGCCTGTTGTTAACTAACCACTCTATGCTCCCCGCTTCTAGGTTACTGCTGATAAAAAAAAGCTGTTTAAATGTAAAGCCACGCGTGCAGCAGTGGTTGTGGCTTCACTTGAGCTGCACTGATCAGTGGTAGATGGGATGCTGTGTGCATGGTGGAGTCATGCTAAGCGGTGCCATAAAACGGAAAAGCATCACCAAACACTGGGGACATACAGGCTCCCAAGATTGTGTGTTTCACTTTCGGGGAACACCTACTGCACCTTCTGGCTTTTCACTTTTAAGTTGATCGTGTAAGTCATTCATCTGGTCGATTGAAAGCTCTTCAGCCTCTGAGGGTATGCTTTCAGACGCTGAAATATCGGGGAGAGAATAAGTAACTGAGTCGTCATCACTCTCTTCATCCTGAGAAAAGAGCACAAAAACACATTCCACAAAGTAAACACCCAAAGTCCTGTTCCATTTAAACTTTACACTACTTTTCGAACATGTTAACTGGCTTTATGATCAGATAATCCTACAAATAAACTGAACATACGTCTGCTGCTCCCAGTTAAAGTAACAGGTGGCCAAGGATGTTCAAATCATCTCAATACGTTGTCTGAGGTGAAGCACTGCTGTGCTCGTGATGCTAACATTTCACTTTGATGTCAGATGCTCAAACACCGTTCGATACATTTTTGTATGAGACTTGTACTTCAAACAGAAAAAAAGAAATTATGTACGCTTTTTGCTCCCAACTTGTCAGGTGAGACAGGCTGGTTGCCGACGGCATCAGAGTTTGGGGGAAAGAAAAATTGTACAAAAATGTGGCACTGTGAAAATTCCTTGGCATTGAATATGACTTATTTACCTCTTTTCCCAATAACATATCAGAGTCAATTTTTTCTTCACAGTTAGGAGGGGGAGGTTTAGCTATTCTTGCTCTGTCAGCTGCTTCAGAGGATAACACTGCTTGTGCATGATGATGGTCGCCACTGGCCAGTGAATGTTCTCTGTAAGGAAGAAAACAGAGACCGTTAAAAAAAAATGAAAATGTACATGATCTACAATACACAAGTGCATTCATTGTGGCTCCTTTGTTGCAGATTTTTCATACGAATAAATATGATACGCAACGTAAAAAAATATTAAGTCATGCCCAAAGAGTAAAACAACTAAATAATTAGTGTCTGTAGGCAAGCAAGGTTAAAGAACCTGACAATCTATAATGGATGATCACAATCAAGATTACTAGTTTCTGATAAACCTATTTCCCCATCTGCATGCTTCACTTGAGGTGTGAAATAGCAACTGGCAACTGAAAAGAAGTTAGTTCAGGTTCATTTAGATAGATAAACCGAACAAACAAAAAAACAAAACAAACAGAAGTAGGCTGTTTCAGAAGCATTTTTCGTTTTGATTGGAGTTGGATGCTAGAAAATTTTACAGAATGGGGAAAAGATGTGCTATTTGGTATGCTCAAAGGGTGACTTCAGTAATAAACTCTGATAATCAAGGCTATACGTGCCTAATTTGGATTGGTCTCTGTCATTAGCAAGTGACTCAGCTGTCTGCTGAGAGACCTCTGCAATAACACAAATAATGTCAAATTCCTGTTAAAAAAAAGAAACCAAAACACCTGCAGCTTGTTTTTATTTTTTATTATAATCAAGCTCTGAAAGGTATAAGGTGACAGAGAAAGTTTAGGGCTATGGTGACAGGAACTGAATGATTGCTCTCTACCTTCCCAGCCCACCCCATATTGGCTTTTTTTCCCCTTGTGGGCAGAAACATTAGGTAAATTAGTCCACTAATTCACCACTGGATATCTGTCTGAGGTCAGTTAGAGCTGTTGTCAGACACACAGACAGTGATGCATCTTTCTAGAGGGATGCTCGGAAGTATAAGAGTTTTTTTTGTCATTACCTCAAGCCAGGAAAAACAGTTGCATCATCCACCAGTTGGACTTGGCGAGGGTGAATGTGCATCATTGGTTCGCAGGCAGTTTGCATAGACCGGAAAGTGGCAGCACCTCTTCTTGGACTGTACTTGTGCACATCTTCATCTCCCATGTTTGTCAAGTAACCTGTAAAAACTCAACTAATTTACAGTGGGCTCTTTAACTTCCGTCATACAATAAAGTATAACATAGTAACTGCTAAAAATTTAAATTTAACCCTAACCATCTTTCTGAAATTGACTTAAAATGGACAAATGGGCTTTGTCTTAATTAACAACCACATATTCAACTACAGTTAAGTCATTTAGGTAAACTAAAGTGTTTCTTGGCTAATAATTTGTGCTGCTTTCTGCAGACGTCACGTATTTCTTCAAATTAGGAAACTAGTAGCATGTCATATAAACCTGTTTATCTTCCATGTAGAAACCAAGAGCTGAAAGTAGTTCGTCGTAAACAATTCGCCCTTTATTGAAGATGTTGAGTCCTCAAAATTTCGATTCCGCCCTTGATTTATCCAATATGGCCACCGTTACCTTGTGAGGTGCCTGGTTAGCTAACTAAATCAATTTAACGTCTTTGTTCGGCTCCATGCCTTAAACGAAACAATTAATCACAAGCTTAATTTATATATATGTATATACAAATATTTTACTAGCTGCTGGCTTTCGAACAACCGCAGAAACTTTTGAAATTACTTTCAAGAGCTAACCTGACATGCTAATTAACAGTTGGTTCTGACACAACGCATTTTCATAAAATCTTTTTTTTTGTACTCTTACAAATGGTGGTTGTTGGAGGCTAAAATAAGTGACTGTAGCTTATTTTTTTAGCACATCTATTGGAGAAAAACGTAACTTCTTACAAAGTTCCCACAGCAGGGTGAAGTCTGTAGCGTTCCCGGTAGCGTGAGAGATGATGCGAACGTCCGAATCCTGGACGAAGTGGAGGAGGAAGTGGTTTAGAAATTGAGAGTTTACCTGTGCAAAGGGGAAAACACATAAAACAAACACAAATATTGAGAAACCTCCTCGGTTTGAAGTAAACTTACGCTCAAACTGAGATCAATGTGACTTGAACTCAAATTGTAGGTTACCAGAAATTTCCACAGAAGAAAAGCCTTAGTAGGAAATCAATATTTACACTGTGATTTCTGTTTGGATATCCTTTTAGTTGATGGAATTTAGATTGACTGTTAAAATTTAAAAAGTGGGCCTGTCATGTTTTATGCATGGGACAAAATAAATAAGCAAATAGGCACAGAATGGTATGATGATTTCTATGAATTTTAAATATGCGACAGAACTATATGTGAATTATACAGGGTATCCATACCAATTCAAACACACACATTGAATATATCCCCTAACTGAATGAATGATTAAACCTCTCAGGTGCTCACACACTTATCGCAGTGTGGCATTATTTATCATAGAGAAATGCTTCATTCATCAAGACTGAACTCTTTTTTTCAAATCCCCTCATCTCTAAAGAGAGCCCTCATATGTGATCTTATCTAAATGAGGCTCTTATGAAAGGATGTGTGTCTTCTTATGCTTCAGTGTGACTATTTCACACAAGACTGTGAAAAATGAAGTCAAGCCTATCTCAGGAGATCCTGCCGAGGCACAGAGGAAACAATCCCATGTGTCATCTTCATTTTAAATACCACCAATTCCCTCCCTGACTCTGCTCTCTTTTTTGTCTCTTCCTGTTCCCTTTTCATTCCCTTTCTCTCCTTTCTCTCCTCTCCCTTCTTTTTTTCCCCTCTCACGCCCACACACTTGCTCACAGGGTGAGAGATTTCCCTATTTATTTTTTAATCGGAACAAGGAGTAACTGTGGTGCCATAAAGAAAACCACAGAGCTTGATTCAATATATTTATTCTTTTTTTCCCCCTGCTTGGAGCCACTGTTTCCAGAACACAATGTCACAGTTTTTGTGTTGGAATATGGACAAGCAAAACTGTGAAATGTTGAGGCTGTTTGACAATTTTTCTAAGCACATGTCATTGTGTTCATGTGTATGAAAGTGTGACTGTGCTGGTGCTCCTGTTTCTGAATTTGTGTGTGTGTGTGTGTGTGTGTGTGTGTGTGTGTGTGTGTGTTTGCAGTGGACGAGCTTTGATTTTGAAGGTTGGCTATCAGTGTTATGTTTTGTGCTAATTAGTAGTGGCAATTGAAACCTTGATATAAAAGAACTACATATTCAAAATCAGACGCTTGTAGGGAAATTGTCATTTTTGTTAAGAGGATGCGTGAATTTAAAGACAAAGTAACATTAAAAAAATATAAGGGAGATACTGTTAATATTATTCCCCCCCCAAATTATGTTAGATTTTCTAGCTCATCATGGAGAGTCATATCAATCACTGCATTATTTCATAAACGGAATGGATGCAAAGCATGGATGGATTAAAAAAAAAAACAAATTTGACAGGTCTTTCCCCAGGCTCTCCACTAGAGGGTAAAAGTAGTTTTCTCACCCACTCAATTTATTTCTGATGCTCACACATGACCTACAAATCTTCCATCAGCTCAGAGGGAACAGAGGCACAGAGAAAAGCAATGGGCTTTGTATCCAGCTCAGCCTTCCCTGAAAGTTCTCAGCCTTTGAATACTTTTCTGTGACTCTTGTACAGCCATCCTTTTCTCCTCACATCACCCCTCTGCTGATGCATGCATGCATGGCATTTATTAAACACAGATCACACATTTATCTGAGCGTATATGACTCTTTAATGGGTGGTTTTCCTGTTGTTTTTTTTGCCTATCAAAGGGTGAAGGCCCTAGCAAGAAAAACACAATAATGTATACATCATGAACATGCTTTATATCACTGCATTTCCTTATTGGTTCAAATCACAGGCAGATGTATACAGTTAGTGTTGGATGAAAGAAATTACCACAAAAAAAAAAAAACTGCTACTCACATATTCGATGCAAAATCTCATTCAGAGACAAAATTCAGGGCCCCAAAGTGTAATTTTATGATTGCTGTATCTAAGTGAAATGTCTCTTTTGGATAAATTCCACTGACATCTCATTCACATTGTAATATCTGTCTATCTCAAGATTTAAACCCTTTGCAGGCTTTAAGTTTGTACCAACGTCAAAACAAAAATAAAATGAATTTTTTTGACTATTTTGCTTATAATCACAGTTTTAAAATAACTCCTGACCAGAAAATGTTATCTTCCTGATGTTAAGACGTCGATTGACTTGCGCTGTTTAAATCAGTAAAAGCAAAAAAACAAATAAGGTATCAGACGAGATCATTTATGGCTTCTACAATTAATTTTTACAATGTATTAACAAAGAGCATGGAAGCTTAATAGATATGGTGATTTATCAGAGGCCTTAAGTAGTTTTTAAATTAGTGGACAATAAAGTATAATGCATAATCAAGTCCATCCCAACACACATAGATGTATGCGTATGGATGTATGTTTGAGGATAATCTGCCTGAATAGGGAGTGAGTCATGGTTACGTGCACACGCCACACAACACCTGTGCTGTTTTGTAATCTCAGGATATTCGGTGGATTGCACAGACACTAATCACACAATTTCATCAAAGCATGAAGACACACAAATATTTGCGAGGGGCGGCCACCCAGCTGTGCCGGTGGGTGGCCGCCGAGATCAGGATGCACAAAGTAATCCAAATGTCAGCCCGAGTACATTAAATAGAGAGGGAGATCTTTGACAGGCGTGACCAAAGGAGGAGGAGGTGAAGGGAAGAGTCGATGCAAAAAATGAACCACGCATTTGTTTTCATTCTCTACTCTGACACAAAAAAAGAGCTTAGTTTATAAGGAACTGTCTTGGTAATAAAGATGAACCCAGCTCTTCTAGTGCTCCTTCCTTTCATTTTCAGCTATACGGTACAGTCCTACTCTTTGTAGATGCTGCTTCATGCATCTTTTAAAAGATGAGAGGGAGGCTCCACTTTCTCACGCCATGTATGGCGAGGAGGGAGAGAACATGCGCCAGATGAAGGCGAATCAGTAGGTAGCAGCATACCAAGCCCACATAATGTATAAACTCACTGTACTAGAGGGTATTTATATAAAGAATGAATCATCCTTTGCTTGCTTTCTCTTCTGTGTCGTGAGGTCTTCCCCAAATCCTGCCTCATCTTCCTCCGCATATCGTGCTGCTCTCTGTGAATCTCATCAGGATAATTATTCGCGCACAGGCATCTGAAGCACGAGCATCTGCCTCTCCTTCTGTTGACCTCCCCCTCCCTCCCCCTCTTTTTTTTTAACATCCTTTTCTCTCCTCTCATCCCTTTTCCGACACTTCCCACTTCTTTTTTTCCAGCCCCGTCAACCTACTTTTCCCTGACCTGTCCTCACACATCAGCCATTTATTTACTGACTTTAGAATCTCCACCACAAATTTTCATGAAAGATGTAAGGCAAAATGTATATATTATTGATATGATTTCTCTGACGGATGTTAGCTAACAAGGTTGACAAGCGGCATTCCTCTGGGATGGGAGTGACCCAGTGATGGTAACAGTGGCCATGTTGGTCCAACCTGGTGAGGTATCAAAACTGAGAATAATCAACTTACTTTATAACTACTACATTGTCTACTACTATTGAATGCCTTTTAGCGATAGAAATAATGTTATTTTGTAGGTGTGAAATTGGTTTTATGTGCATGTCTCGTTTTATTCGATGTCCACATTGCAGATAGATATTGATACATGTCTATATATATCTATATATAAAAATAAATCTATATATGATAATACCCCTTCGTCGTTTGTAACACACATCTGTAAATGTTAAAACATAGATCTCTTTGCAGATGAAGACCCACTGGGTACATAGAAGCCTCATTCACCTATCCAGTGTATGCTATATCATTGAAATGCAAAATAATGTTGCATGAGTTTACTTTTAATCCTTGGTAAGTAAAATCTGTGAGTCCCATTATGTAAATGTTCTGGTAACTAAGAAGAACGCCTTTTAGATTGTTTTTGTTGAGGAAACAAGGCTTTAAAAACACTTTATTCCTTCTCAGGAGAACCGCGTTACATCTCAATGCTATAGTGAACGGAGGGATGATGAATATATGAGGTTAAAAATGACATCTGTGTTCTGCCTCTAATGTTAAACCTGTCTGTGTATATGTGCTTTTAAATGCCTAATGGAATCAATATTACAGCACAGGTGTGGGCAGGAAGCTATCACAGTTACTTTCTATTCGCTAAGCATGTGGTCAACAGATGCTGACCTTATATTATCGCATTTGAGATGATTTATCTGAAGGTAAGACCGACACATTACCAACCACGGACACTGCCAGGAATCCAGGAATCATATTAATGAAATGACTCACTCATATAAAACCGCATGTGCTTTATTTGGCCTGAGATGAAAACCAACCCTCTCTTCTGCCATGACAGAGATAATATCTTAATTTTTTCTGAAGATGCTCATGTCGTTCTACTTTGATGCCTCATAAAACTTCACAAATTACGTTCACCTATAGCTGCATTCTGTCGGATGAAGACAATATCAAAGTGTGCAGTTTTACTAGTTTGGGACAAAAAAAATTCTAAATCATTCAGCATAAGATAGTGAGTCAAATGTTTTGTGCTAATTTTTAAATTAAAACCAAAATTTTACCCTTGAAATTGCACAGTAGAGGTGTGACGATGTACCTTTAAGTCTGAGTACAACTTCACCAGTCATAGATCCTTGATCTTTTTCAGTGTTGGCAAAATGGACTTGTGTGTCTGTGAGGCTCAAATGGAGCAACACATAATTCCAGGGCCAGATAACAGCCGTCAGCTCTGTCCTGAAGCATTACTGTCTTCACCTTCACTGTTTGCTATTAGACCCTTTTCACACCCTTTGCATACGTTAGCACATTTCTCTGGCACATGCTGTCCTATAAATAGTAAATGGCATCTTTCATGAGTTAACTTGAAAAAATATATACATTTTAATAGCAAACAGCATTGTAGTGGCTTCCT